ATATGATCTAAACACAATGAAAAGGTGAGTGGCCTGTGATCTGAAATCACAATGCTGTGATATTTAGCATTCAATGTGGACGGTATGAGTCTGGCGTCCACCAGGAAGTAGTCTATCCTACTGTAAGAGTTGTGTACAGGTGAATAAAAAGAGTAGTCTCTACCTGAAGGATTCATTGCTCTCCATATATCCAGTACATTCGTTATAATTATTAATGAACATATTTAAAAATTCACTAGAGGCATTTCTTGGAAGTCTCTTGGTGGAGGACCTATCAAGATATGTGTCAAGGACCGTATTAAAGTCGCTACCTATTATCAAGTGTGTTTGTGAGATTCTGGTATCAGTGAAAAAACCTTCTGAAAGAATATGGGGTTATCTATGTTGGGAGCATATATATTTTGTAACCATCTCCCTATCCACTCCTAAGGAGACAAGCTACAAGATAATTTTGAGGGAGGGACCCACAGACCAAACTTGCTGAGAATATAATGAGTGCAAAACCAGTTGGAAGATAAAACTCAATACACAAATAGAAATGCTTTCATTTTATATCCGATGACCCACACAAGAGTATTTACATAAACACCACCCAGCCAACACTGAATATACAATAACATACCCCAAAGATAAACACTAATGCAATACTGTCTGATGAGTAGCAATAAAAATAAACCTTAGATGAAACCCTTAGTTTTTCATTGTCCTGTAATCCATAGAGTACATCCAAGGTTTTGTATCAGAGTCAATGATTCCATTTGCAGCGATGGAGAGGAAAGGAATATTAGTCCCGTGACAGAGGTGAAGCAGTTACTAGTTGTAATCCACAATGACTCCAATTCCCATACGACCAGAGTCAAGCTTTGAAAACACTATCCTTAGGGTATAGAACTCTCATGTTCCAAGTCGAATTGCAGCCTTGAGCCTCATCGAACAAATGAAAAACAGGATATTCAAAGAGTCCTTCTACAAACAAAACACATACATACTAGCATTAGCATGTTGGTTTCAAACCAAACAATAGCCGAAACCCCTCTCCCCAAAAAGAGCTAAATACAGCTTACACAGAAATAACCTCAATTGACATAACAAATCAGACAAAAAAAAAAAACACTTACTTGATTGAACATGAAACTATAGTTTCTCAATCTGGACTCTGAACAAATTGTGTGAACATAGAGAGAAGAACCATGCTTCCCTTTCCACACCATAACCTAACTTCTTCTTCTTCTTCTTCTTCTTCTTTTCTATCATGGCGGATTGCAAGCAACTTAAGGTGCATACCGCCACCTACTGTTCATGAGTGTGTAGCAACATTGTTTTACATCTATTAAATTCTATTTTTTAATTTTGTATTCTGAAGATAAATAAATAATACTTTCCTTAATCTATAAATATCTTTTATATTTCCTTTATTTCCCAATAATCCTTTAAGACTCCATTCTTGGCCTGTCCTTTCAACTACTCTTCTCAATTTCTCCCTTTCAGGTTCATATGTTTTACAGTTCATCAATACATGTTCTATATTTTCTATCTCTCTACATCCTTCACATTTATCATTATTTTTCCTCCCTATTAAATATAAATTATCATTTAAATAAGTATGACCTACTCTTAATCTGATCATTATTATTTCTTCCCTTCGGTTTCTCTCATTAATATTTCTCTTTACTACTGACTTTTGTACTTTATATAATCTTCTTCCTTTTTTATCTTCATTCCACCTTTTTTTGCCAATTTTCAATTTCTTTCCTCTTAATAAATGATTTTCCTTCCCCTTTCCCTAAAGGAATTGTAATTGCTATTGCCTCCTATAAAGCCCTTTTTGCTAATTTGTCTGCCTTTTCATTTCCTTTTACCCCTTCATGTGCTGGTACCCAACAAAACCAAATATCAATGCCACCCCTGTATAATCTAAATAAACTGTGCTGAATTTCTAATACTAAATCTTTCCTATTATTTCCTTCTCCCTGAATACTTTCTAAAGCTGCTTTGGAATCCGTGCATATCACCACCCTATCTGGTCTAACCTCCTCAACCCATTGTAAACTCAATATAACTGCCACCATCTCTGCTGTGAAAACTGATAGTTGATCTGACATTCTTTTAGAAATGTGTATTTTGAACTCAGGAATATATATTCCCATTCCCACACACCCTTTTAAATTCTTAGACCCATCTGAATATATTTTAAGGTAATTATAATAAGAGTTTCTTAAATATATATCAGTCTGTATCCCTATTCCGTTTAAATTCCATTCATTTTTCATTTTAAGAAGTCTCATGTCTACATTTATCTCAGGAAATAACCATGGAGGAACAACACTAATTGGATTACATTGTGCTATTTCCTTATCCTCTAATCCAAACTCTTTAATCAATTTGCTTATAACCCATCCAAATCCATTACTATGGAACTTTGAATATTCCCAACAAGTTTTTAGAATTGTTGAAGTTACATTTTCATCCATACTACTTTTAATTTTCATCCAATATACTAAACCTAATTTCATTCTTCTCATTTCCAGTGGAGTTTCTCCAGTCTCTACTAAAAGAGCATTGATAGGTGTTGTTTTCACTGCTCCTGCCATAACCTAACTTCTTCTCCTACATGGCTATATACAAGGGAGCAGGACACCTAGAGCCCCCTACTGCATAGTAGTGGTATTACAAATGAAGAAAGAAAACCAGGAACCAAACTCTGGGTGGTTACAATTTACTAGAGTGAGGGAAATGTTGTGGATTTCACCAATAACTATAATATAGCGGCCCTCTTTGTCAGTGATTGTTTTTTTCTGTAAAAAGGGCACGCCTTTTCTCAGTAGAATGGCCGCACCTCTTGCTTTGGATGAAAAGTTTGAGTGGTAAACTTCCCCTATCCAATTTGCTTTTAACCTGCCATGCGAGCCACTCTTCAAGTGAGTTTCCTGTAGGAACACAATGTCTGAGGTCAATGACTTTAGGTGGGTCAGAACTTTACCTCTCTTGACTGGGTTATTTACTCCACGCACATTCCACCTGGAAAATGTGAGACCCCTCATCCCTCCGCTGTCTTTGTTTAAACTATCATACATCAGGAATCTTTGATCAGTACAGTATCGGTAGCAGTACAGTTGTCAATGTGTAGGATTTGAGTGAATGGTCTTCCTATCCCTCCCCTCCCCTCTACCCCAACCCGCCCCACAACCGTTATCAAGGTCAGCCCAGTCCCCATAGTAACAAATGCAAACAAAACTACTCTAGCCAATTCAAAGTGAATGTGGCGCGAGCCTTCTTAAGGAAGTAAGTACAAATAAACCAGTAACTTAAGTTACTTCCCCACACCTTCTGGTGGCCTGATGCGAACTCCTATCCAGGGCCGGCGCTAGCCATTTGGGTGCCCTAAGCACAAATGCTTGGTGGTAGGACATAACATTTTCCCATTATTATTCTAATGAGAATGGTGGTTTTACAGTCAGATGGTGAGGCACCAGCTGTGTGTGTGTGTGTATGAGCGTGCAACTCACGTAGATGGGTGACAGTTAGTGTTGTGCTAGCGCTAGCCATAAAATCTAAGCACCAGTAAGTTACATAACCACCTCTCTGAATATCTTGATTCTCTGCATCAGCAGTGATTGCATCAGTTTAAGCGTCCTCCTGTCTCACTTCAGTCGAGAGGCGTTCGGCAAATTCCTCCGCTTTTTTGGCATCTATGAACGATATCTGCGTGCCGTTGTGGGTTATCAGGAGTCTGGCAGGATAGAGGAGGCCGTACCTGACCCCGGGTCTGCCTCGTAGCAGCTCCCTGGTGCGGTTTAATAATGCCCTCTTTTTAGCCACGGCAGGCGGATAGTCCGGAAAGATTTGGATCCTCTGACCACCATGGTAGAGCTGTTTAGCCACTGCAGCCTTGCGTAGAATGTCCTCGAGCGTGTGGAAGTAGTGTAGCCTCAGTACAAAGGGTCTAGGTGGCTCATGAGGTTCGGGCCGCCTTCGGAGGGTCTGGTGCGCTCTATCAATAAGAGGTTTCTCATCCAGGGATAGCACCTCTTGCAGCAACCCGGCGATAAAATCTCTCGGCCTGGGTCCCTCAGTCCCCTCAGGAACTCCGATGACCCGGATGTTGTGTCTCCTCGAGCGCCCTTCTAGGTCTTCGCATATCTCAGTTAGTTTTTCTATTTCAGAGCTCAGGCGGGTTACTTGACGTTGAAGTGCAGTGACATAGTCCGACTGGTGTAAGGCGGACTTCTCTATCTCTCCAATAGTGTTAGCATGCGATGTCGCGGTTTTCTCCAGGGTCGTAATTGAAGTCTGCAGCTCTTCTTTACAGAGTCGGCGCCAGAGCAGATCTACTGGAGGGGCATTGGGTCATCGGCGGGGGGGCACTGCCGTTTAAGAAATATCATAGTACAACACAGCAGAAATGTTTTAAGAAGCGAAACACGTTTTATTATTAATTATCATTTGCGAATTTCGTTTATTCTTGTTGTTGTTAATTTCCATATCATGTCACTTAGAGGCTATGTGGTAGCCCTATGCACACTTTACTCAGACACACACACGAAGACGATAATAAAAGGCAGAAATGGGCAGGCGCGCTGGAAGCTGTTTCATGCGAGGGGGGCTCGGGCTGGGTTGGAAAATATGTGACGTCATTACATTATTCAATTCAATTCAATTCAAATTTATTTGTATAGCGCTTTTCACAATACATATTGTTTCAAAGCAGCTTTACAGAAAGTGCGTTTCAGAAATGTACACAGAAAAATACAGTTAGTTAATCATCATGTATTAATTTAGGGCATAGCATATCGCCGGCGTTGAGTCGTCTCTTCACAGGCGTCGAGTCGTCTGATCGCAGGCGTCGATTCGTCTCATCGCAGGCGTCGATTCGTCTCTTCACAGGCGTCGAGTCATCTCTTCACAGGCGCCGAGTCGTCTCTTCACAGGCGTCGAGTCATCTCTTCACAGGCGCCGAGTCGTCTCTTCACAGGCGCCGAGTCGTCTCTTCACAGGCGTCGAGTCATCTCTTCACAGGCGCCGAGTCGTCTCTTCACAGGCGTCGAGTCGTCTCATCGCAGGTGTTGGGGCATCTGAAGTCTCCGTGAGAGGCTGGATACAAACTGGAGCTGACGAACGCTATTTACCTCGGGACTAGCGTCCCGAGATAACAGCAAAAAAGCAGATGGGAAATAATTAGCGTTGCTGCTGTTCATAATATTAATGCATTCGATCTGATTCATCTGTAGTATAAAAGGTAAGCATTATGTGAATGCTTGGCTGAAGAGATGCGTCTTTAATCTAGTTTTGAACTGGGAGAGCGAGTCTGAGCAACGAATAGTATCAGGAAGGCTATTCCAGAGTTTAGGTGCTAAGTGTGAGAACGCCCTCCCTCCTTTAGTGGACTTAGATATCCTAGGAATGACCAGAAGCCTCGAATTTAGGGATCTTAAAGAACGCGATGGATTGTAGGGCAATAGAAGGTCCTTTAAATACACAGGAGCTAAACCATTTAGGGCTTTATAGGTCAGTAGTAGTACTTTGTAATTGATACGGAACTTGATAGGTAACCAGTGTAGAGATGATAAAATTGGTGTTATATGATCATATTTTCTTGACCTAGTAAGAACTCTAGCAGCTGCATTTTGGACTAACTGTAGCTTGTTTATTGAGGATGCAGGACAACCAGCTAATAAAGCATTACAGTAATCTAGTCTCGAGGTCATGAATGCATGAACTAACTTTTCTGCATCAGAAACAGATAGCATGTTACGTAATTTAGCAATGTTTCTAAGGTGGAAAAAGGCAGTTCTTGTAACATATGAAATATGATTTTCGAAAGACAAGTTGCGGTCTAGTATAACACCCAGGTATTTTACTGTAGTGGATAAGGTAACAGGGCATCCTTCTAAATTAAAGTTGTATTGTAAGAGATTTTGTGGGTAGTTTTTTGGACCAATAAGTAATACCTCCGTTTTATCTGGATTTAATAGCAGGAAATTACACGTCATCCAGCATTTTATATCTTTAAGACACTCTTTCAATTTAGATAAGTTAGTGTTTTCATCTGGTCGTGATGAAATATATAATTGAGTGTCATCAGCATTGCAGTGGAAATTAATTCCATGTTTTCTTATAATATTACCAAGTGGCAGCATATATATTGAGAATAGCAGAGGGCCTAACACCGATCCTTGCGGCACTCCATAGTCTACTGACGTTATCTTCGATTTTTCCCCATTTAAACAGACAAAATGGTAACGGTCTGATAAGTACGATCTGAACCAGCTTAATGCCTGTCCCTGAACACCAGTGTAGTTTTGTAGTCGATCCAAGAGTATTTTATGATCTATAGTGTCGAACGCAGCGCTAAGATCGAGTAGAACTAGTATTGAGATACAGCCTTGGTCAGAGGCTAAAAGTAAATCATTTGTAATTTTAACTAGCGCAGTTTCTGTGCTATGATGCGGTCTGAATCCTGACTGAAATTTTTCATATATCTCATTTTCATGCAAGAAAGAGCACAATTGAGCGGACACAATTTTTTCTAGTATTTTAGACATAAATGGAAGATTTGAAATGGGTCTGTAATTTGCTAAGTTATTTGGATCTAATTGCGGTTTCTTAATAAGAGGTTTTATTACTGCCAGCTTGAATATTTTTGGAACATGACCTAAAAATAAAGACGAGTTAATAATATTGAGAAGAGGCTCTTCCACTACAGGTAACACTTCTTTCAATAGTTTAGTGGGTATTGGATCTAATAAACATGTTGTTGGTTTAGATGCAATGATAAGTTTATTTAGCTCTTCCTGTCCTATAGTTGTAAAGCGGTGTAGTTGTTCTTGAGGGGCGATAATTGAGGCTGAATCATAAGACACCATAGAGGATTGTACATTTACAATTGTGTTTCGGATGCTTTCTATGTTCTCATTGAAGAAATTCATAAAATCATTACAACTATACTGTAACGGAATATTTTGCTCTGGTGATGTCTGTTTATTTGTTAGTCTAGCCACGGTGTTAAATAAAAACCTTGGATTATTTTGGTTATTTTCTATTAGTTTGCAGAGATGCTCAGCCCTGGCTGCTTTTAGAGCCTTTTTATAACGTGACATACTGTCTTTCCACGCGATTCTAAAGACCTCTAAATTAGTTTGTTTCCATTTACGCTCTAAGTTACGAGTTTCTCTCTTGATAACATGTGTAGTACTATTGTACCATGGTGCTTTAGTTTTCTCTCTAACCTTTTTTAATCTAATTGGTGCAACAATATCTAATGTACTAGAGAAAATGGTGCTCAGACTGCTGGTCATTTCCTCTAGTTCATCTGTTTGTTTGGGTTCACTGAGCAGCTGAGATAGATCAGGTAAGCTATTTGAGAATCTATCTATAGTGGTTGGAAGGATTGTTCTGCCTGGTCGATAACGTGGCGCAACATGACAAATTTCAGCAGTACGTATTATGCAAGTTACCATGTAATGATCAGTGAGATCGTCACTTTGCGGTATAATATCTATATCGGTTGGATTGGTTCCGTATGATATAATTAGATCTAGTGTATGATTTAGACGATGAGTGGGACCACTGACGTTTTGCTTGACCCCAAAGGAGTTTAATAAATCTGTAAACGCAGTCCCTAACGCATCATTTGTGTTATCTACGTGTATGTTAAAATCTCCAACAATTATTGCTTTATCGGCATTGACCAATAGATCTGAGAGAAAGTCTGCAAACTCTTTTAGGAAATCAGCATATGGCCCTGGAGGTCTATATACGGTCGCCAAGGCTAGAGATAATAGGGATTTCTTTCTTACATCTAAGAGCGTAACATTTAGCGCAAGTACTTCAAACGAATTAAACCTGTGACCTGTTTTCTGAGTAACATTAAGAATATCTCTATAGATTGTTGCAACACCGCCGCCACGACCGATCAGACGGGGCTCATGCTTATAACAGTATCCTGGTGAACTAGACTCATTTAGACTAAAATACTCATTTGGTTTAAGCCAGGTTTCAGTAAGGCAAAGTACATCGAAGCTATTATCTGTGAGCATTTCATTTACAATAACCGCCTTAGGTGTGAGCGATCTAATGTTTAGAAGACCTAGTTTTAGAAATTGTTTTTGTTCACGGATATTTAGATTTTCTGGTTTAATTACAATAAGATGTTTCCTAGATCCTACACTCGATTTATTGTTTGGCCTCACTAGACGAGGAATAAACACAGTTTCTATATAATGTTCTACACTACTTATATCAATTAAGTTGGGGGAGCAAAGACTGTGATTTGGACTTTGACTTACTAGTCAGTTGGTGTGTAACGTCTTGGAGATGTTGTCCGACAGAACAGCCGCTCCGATTCTGCTGGGGTGAAGGCCATCAGCACGGTAGAGCCTAGGTCGCTCCCAGAACAGATTCCAATTATTTACAAAGAGCAGTTTCTGTTCATTACACAATGACATTAACCATTCATTTAGTGCAAATAATCTACTGAACCTTTCCTGTCCTTGTCGGTACGTGGGAAGCGGTCCAGACACGATGATCGTTGCCTCAGGCACTGTGCTGCGTACCGTCTCGATCAGGCTCCTGTAGTCCTTCTTCAGAACCTCCGTCTGCCGCAGCCTGATGTCGTTCGTTCCCGCGTGCAGCACAACAGCTCCGACGCGCTCTTCACCGTTCAGGATCTCGGGAACCTGTGCGGCGACATCAAGAACACGAGCACCAGGAAAGCAGTGAGTGCGCACCTTACCCTTACCTGAGGTAGCACGGACATGACGGACCATGGAAGTGCCGATGATCACGGCGTCGTCGCGTTCCGACTCGCGAAGAGGGGAGAAGCGGTTCCTGGTGGAGATCTCGAAGACCGGGAGGGGCGGAGAGGTTCTTGCTCTGGTCCTGGCTCGTGTCTTCCGCTGTGGGATCACCCAGGGTCCATGGTGTTGTGTCGGTGCCGGAGTGAATGAAGCCCGAGATGATCGTGTCCTCCTGGGCAGAGAAACGCACGGAGTAGACGAAGTCGGAGTCAAAAAGTTACTAACCACTGACTTGTGAGCATCGGCGCGTGACGTTTCAAGCGCTGATCGCCGATCCCGCAGCTCGGCTTGTTTCTCCAGCAGACCACGGATCTGTTTCTCCACCGATTCCAGCTCCAATCGTACCGAAATCAGCTCGAATGTGTCCTCACCTGCACTCAGAGGTAACGTTAGACACACATCCGATATGTTCGCCATTATAACAGATGAACAGTAAATCAGTAGTGATACTACCAATATCACTACTAATTTAGGACTGGAATGCTGGATATAACCTGTATCCTTTCAATGAAACGAGTGTAAAATCAGACGGTCGATAGGCGCGAGGCCACGCGTGAAATGCTAGCGGGCTAAAAGGCAAGTAGCCGAGATTCGCAAAGTTGGATCTAAGTAGCGATATCAAAGCAATCCGATTGTTTTTTATAGGGAATAGTATCGAGGATAAGTTCACACGATATAAAAATAGAAAGTGCTTGTTTATAAATGAGTGGTAAAGAAGAAAATCAAGGATTAATGAATCAATTCGACGGAGCTCCAAACACAAAACACAAAAATTATGGCTGACGACAAGACATGACATTTCTCTGTACTGTATGTGTTGTAGCCATTAAAGAAAACATATTTAGTTTCATATTTATGTTCAAACTTGCATTGCACGTGAACTGGAGGGCGCCGAAACTCAGCTTGTGCCTCACAGATTTGAGAAATATAGGCTATCTATGATTATGCTTGAAATGTCTACTTTTAAACGAAACTATTTAAAACGAAAAGAAATAGGCTACTCTCTGATTATAATCAAATGTGCATTTCTCTCTGGCGTTCATGGCGAGTAGCCTAGGCATCATCAACTTCATCTTTGCAGTGACACAGAAAACACCAGTTTATTAATAAACAATTAAATGTAGGCTATCCTTGCTATTTTTGACACATTAATAATCATTACTTTCGCCGGTTCTTTGTGGCAAGCTTTATACGTGAGGGCGTGCGCTTGGGTGCAGCTATATTAGGAGGAGGACTAAACCATTTTCGTAAATCCATTTTTTGTCGATAATAAGGGTAACAGTTCTCTTACGAGAGGTTCTCTCGTATTGCGTAAGTTTAGCTTACGCTACGGGTAAAGTTCATCTTTGCTCGAGATATTGAAGCCAAAATTATCCTTAATTTTGTATATATTGTCAACGCAGTGCAGCAGCTGCAGACCTAGAGCAGGCTGTCTAGCGTGCCATTGGCTGCCTTGCGGCAACTGTAGCAGCCTACCAGTGAGCCTGGCGTGACGTCACGCCCAATGGTGGCGCTTCGCGCCCACTACGCGTCACAGCCCGCGCAAAGGGGTGTGGCTTAGCGTATAAAAACGGAACTCACAGGCTGCTTCCCTGATTTTTCATCTCTTCAGCGAAGCTCTTCATTCCGCTGGATCCGAGAGAAGCCGCCGCCGTTGAAACCAGCGACTGCCAGCAGAGGAAAGTGCCTGAGGAAGCCGGTCGACTTCTCGCCGCCTTCAGCCTTCCGTGCCAGCAACGCTATCCGGCGACAATATCTTTTCATTGCTCTTGTCTGTTTATGTGTACTGTGTGTGTGCTCGCCGCCGCGACACACACTTTTACTAAAAGAGCGCGAGCGTTCTTTTCAGAATGCCTTGCACGTCCTGTGTTTTGTGCCGAGCCCCGCTCAGCGCCGGAGACCGCCACGTGATCTGCGCTCTCTGCCTGGGCCAGGACCACGCAGCCCTCGCGCTTTCGTCGGGAGGCTGCATCCACTGCGAGGAGCTTTCCATGGCGACCCTGCGGGCTCGCCTGGAGCTCTTCAGCGCCGAAGCTGTCACTCCGCCCTCCACTTCACCGCGCAAAAAGAAGCGCCGTGCTCAGAGGATGCCGGAACCCGTCGCGGAGAACAAACACTCGCCGGACAGGCTCCCTCGAGTGTCTCTCTTGCCTTCCCCTCCCCCCCTCACCGACGCGCAGATGCCGGCTCCCGCCCGCACTGCCGTTGCTTCAGAGGACGAGGCGGACAGGGGCGCCGCGGACGACAGCTGTTCCATCCTGGCCCTGGACAGCGAGGAATGGCCTGGATCTCTCCACTCCTCCTCTGCTTCCATCCAGGAGTCCGGACGGACACGTTCGGGTGTGGATGCCGAGCTGATGCGTCTCCTGGTGAAGGCCGTCGACCACCTCGGCCTCGAGTGGTCGCCGCCCCAGGAGCCCGCGCTTAACCGCCTGGACGGCTGTTTTCTTCAACGCCGCCACCAGCCACCGGCTTCAAGGCCTGCTCCTTTCCTGCCGGAGCTCCACACCGAACTTTCCAAATCGTGGAGTGCACCTTTCTCCGCGAGGCTCCACGCTAGTTTTTCCGCGACGCTCTCCCACGTTGACGGCGCCACCGAGAAGGGATATGTTTCCATCCCACAAGTGGAAGAAGCGGTAGCAGCGCACCTTTGCCCGCCCTCCTCTGGATGGCGCTCAAGGTCTGCGCTCCCCTCGAAAGCCTGCAGGACCACGTCAGCTCTAGTCGGCCGCGCCTTCTCCGCCGCCGGACAAGCTGCTTCCGCCCTGCACTCTATGGCCGTTCTGCAGATCCTGCAAGCCGACCTCCTCCGCGAGTGGGACGAGAAGGGCTCGGATCTAGCTGCGATCGCGGATCTGAGGAGCGCGACGGACCTTTCCCTCCGCGCCACAAAGACCGCACCCCAGGCCATCGGCAGATCCATGGCTGCGCTGACCGTCACAGAGAGGCACCTCTGGTTGACGCTCGCAGACATGAGAGAGTCTGAGCGCGCCACTTTTCTCAACGCGCCGCTCTCCCCCACCGGTCTCTTCGGCACAGCGGTCAACGGCATCGTGGATCGCTTCTCCGAAGTACCGAAGACCTCGCAGGCCATGAATTTGTTTCTGCCACGACGCTCCAGCTCAGCCACAGGCCGCTCACGTGACAAGCCGCCTGCTAGAAGCTCCACTCAGCGTCCAGCCAAGCCTGCCGCTTCGCAGCGTCGATGGGGCGGCCGCCCTAGATCGCGCTCGGACAGCCGCCACAGGCCGCCTCCCCCACGGGGACCCCGGCCGAGGATTGTGTTGAAACCCGAGCAAGCGAAGCCCTCCTAACATCAGGGGAGAAAAGACGGTTAAGTCCCGCTGCGGCCGGACCACCGTCAAAACGCCACACCTTGTCAGTCCCCCCACAGAGGGCTACTGCAGGAGATTATTTAGCAGCCAACGAGCCGGTTATAATGCCCTCTCGCCTGCACACAAACGCCGTTTTTACGGCGACCCACAGAAATCCCATAAAGAGTGTATTTTCTGTTTATCCGGCTCACGCCGCTGGTGTTTTAAGTGTAGGAAATGTGCCCACGTCCCAGTGTTCACCCCTACACACAAGCACTCAAAAACATGTGTCCCTATGGCCCACAGAGCCCACTCTCATAAAGCTGGCAAATGCCGCTCGAGTGTTAGATGTACACATCGCGCCTGCGAACTCGCGCTCACGTCTATCTCATGCCCGCTCTGTCACACGGCCATTCCAACCTCAAGTAGGTCAGGTTATGAGTGTAAGTCCGCTCACAAGCGCTCACTCTTACTAACAGACACACTGTCCCCGGCGCTGCTCGCGCGTCACAGAATGTTCATGGCAAGCTCCCCGTTCACGGTAACCGGGTCGCCTCATGTAAAACAGCCAGCTGTCGCTGTCAGCGAGCCGCCGCACACAGACACCAATATGAGTCAGGCTGCGATTGTAAGTCACGTGCCCGCCCCAGCGCGTTCACGCTTGCCAATGAATGCCTCGCCTCCGGCGCCGCTCACCCGCTACAAAGCTCTCAGAAAACGTTCCCCGCTCAAAGTAACCGGGACGTCACATATAAAACAGCGTGCCATCGCTGCCAACGAGCCGCCGTGTCTAAGCACTCATACCGGTCAGACTGTGAATGTATGCTACGAGCTCGCTCACGAGAGCTCGCGTGTACTATCAGTCGCTCCGCCTCAAGCGCCGCTCGCGCTTCAGAAAGCCATTGTGAAACGCTCCCCATTCAACGTAATCGGGTCGTTATGTGCGAACCAGCCCAAAGTGGCTGTCAGCGAGCCGCTTTGTCCAAGCACAGAGGGCGCGCACGCCGCACCCACACCTCCGGTTCAGTTCCCGAAGCCCACAGTGTGCGGCGATCGGAACCCGGAGACCATTCGCCCCCTGGCCACACATGCACGAGCATGGGAAGCCATTCCGGGGATTTCAGAGTGGGTGCTGAGCACAATAAGACAGGGCTATGCACTACAGTTCGCTCGCCGTCCCTCGCGTTTTCACGCTCGGACCGAGTCGACAGTGAGCGCGAAAGTAGCACATCTACTCCGCGCAGAAATAGCCAAACTGCTGTGCAAAGGAGCTATAGAACCGGTGCCGCCTTCTCTGAGCGAGTCAGGCTTTTACAGCCGTTATTTTCTCCTACCGAAGAAGGACGGAGGTCTGAGACCTATATTAGATCTGAGATTTTTGAACAAAGCTCTCATGAGGAGACCGTTCAAAATGATTACAACCAGGCAGATCCTCGCGCAAATTCGCCCGAGGGACTGGTTTATATCTCTCGATCTGAAAGACGCGTATTTTCAGATACAGATTATACCCCGTCACAGGCCATTCTTGAGATTCGCCTTCGACGGCCGAGTATATCAGTACACTGTCCTCCCGTTCGGCCTGTCCCTGGCACCCCGTACATTTACGAAGTGCATGCACGCGGCGCTCGCCCCCCTCAGATGTCAGGGTGTGCGAATTCTGAACTATTTGGACGATTGGCTGATTCTAGCACAGTCAGAGATAGAGCTCGTATCTCACAGAACTATGCTTCTCAGTCACTTGGAAAGATTGGGTCTCACGGTCAACTGGACCAAGAGCTCACTACAGCCCAGTCAGTCAATCTCCTTTTTAGGGATGGAACTGGACTCCGTGGCTATGAAGGCTCAGCTGTCGACAGAGCGCGCGCGCCGTGTTCGACACCTGGCCGCATCTTTCCAGAAGGGCAGAACCGCCTCCCTGAAGAAATTTCAGAGGATGCTGGGCTGTATGGCCTCAGCTGCAGCAGTGCTTCAGCTGGGCTTAATGCGCATGCGCCCGCTACAACGCTGGTTGAACGCCCGCGTACCCCGTCAGGGGTGGACGCGCGGCTACAAGCGGATCAGGATATCTCAGAGCTGCATTTCAGCTCTGCAGCCCTGGTTAGCGGCCAATTGGTACCAGCAGGGGGTGATGAT